AGAAATGAGTGGCGGCATGTTTCAACTTGACTGACATTGGTACATGTAGTTTTAAAACCCTCAAGGGGGCGGCTGCCCACGCTGGCACTAACTTAGGTCTCCATCTAGTTGGGATTGTGATATTGGTGTTATGTTGTGGCTGTATTATGTTGCATAAGTGGTCTTAGATCCGTTGAATGCAATCTAAGTATTAATTGTAGCTTTTGGCATGCAAATTAGGTTTTGGGAGTTCTTATTGTGTTGAAGTTTAAAAGATGCTATAAAAAGGGTTTAGGTGTCCAATTTTTCTTGTGTGAAATTATTTGATGTTGAAACCTATGCCATGATGTTGAAACCTATGCCAATAACTAATTTACATAAAGAGCTTTCTGTAAAAATTTAAATTCATCTCAATTAAATATCAAATGAAGAAATGGGGCCCGTCGAGAGTTCACCCCTATGCTGTCAAAATGAAATGAATTTTAGAGTAATCTAGTTGGTTGGGAGTTCTTTTTTACATGCCGTAATGCATCCTCTGTTTCCTTGGTCTTCTTTCGTTTTCAAATGAATTTTAGAGAACATAATTCCTAAAGGGTATCCTATGCTCCTATACTTAAATTTACTCTAATTTAGACTTGTTAATGTTGTACTTGTTGTTTATGAAATGACAAACTTGGGACCCCAAATCTTGTAAAATCCACATTTTGATTTTGCAATATTTTCTAATGAGACATTTGTGGTGAAGTAATCAGTTTGGTTTAGTCCCATGATTAATGTAGAGATTTCTAATAGGGTTAATCCCATAATCAGTAAGGCCACCCTTATACATTAACCTAGAATTCTAAAAATACTTGAATAAACTCTTTCAAGTCATAAAAAAGTATTTGGTTTAATTAATTACTTAATATTTTATTGCAATTAACGAACCTTAATTTCAACCACCAACTCTAATGTAGCTATATGAGGTTAATAAGTGAGAGAGAGAGAGAGAGAGAGAGAGCCCATGTTATTATGTAAATTTCAAGTTCTTACATTATTTTATTCAAGTTTTACATTTAAGCTAGTCATCTCAAGCATCATTCAAGTGAATATATTAGCTAAATGATAGCCAAACACTTAAAAGCAATAAGAGAAGAGTAAAATATAAACACATATGGATCATTAATCATAAAAAAAAAAGAGGAGAAAATTAGTGTTAATCCACACAAGGGTCAAAATAATCTTAGAGCAAAAAGTTTAGCTACTTATAATCATTCAAAAGCTATAAATATACAAAATATTCACAACCATATTAGATTACAAGGAAAAAAAGTGGAGAAGAAACAAAGCAGTCAAAGAAAGAAGATTCAAATCTCTTCAAAGATTCAACTCTTAGACCTAATTCATCTAAAGCCAAAGTCCTAGCACATCCAAGCTCAATCCTAAAGTGTCTTCAAGTGTGTAGAATTAGTTTTGAGTTGATAAGGCCACGTATATGTATTCTACACACCACTCATTTTCAATTAAATAAAATGTGATATTTTGTCAACAACAGCAATTTTAGTGATGGTTTTGGCCTGTTTTTCACATTTCTCTCATTTGATGAAACTAATCATTTTTGCACTTAATTTCTTCATCTAAAATCCTTTCAACAGCATCATCAAGGGTCAAGAAATGTTTTTCACAAAACCTTAAACCAAAATAACACAAATTTAGTCCAAAAGTGTCAAATTGAAATCAAATATGCAAACCCAAAGCAAGCAAGTTTACCTTTACTAAACCAATACTCAATCTAACTCATTCTAGTAATTCAGAGATTATTCCAAACAAGTTCCTCATTTTAAAAACTCATTAAGGTCAAAAGTAATAAAAGTGAAATTCCAAGTTTTCATAAATATAAAATACTTCAAATTAGTTCCAATAAGTTCAAATCATAATAGAAACACATAAGGAATCATGGTATACCATTTGATAGTCAAAAAACCTTAAAACAGTTGAAAAATATCGAGCGGGAAAAATAATTAAGAGATGCCCCTTGACATGTGCACATGCACTGCAGCTTGTTCCTCTTTGTGCGGCGTGTCATGGTGTTGGCACTATGCACTGTAGTGCACTACACAAAAGTTTAACAACACCTAGGGTCAACTTTGACATGCCTAATTTTTCCATTCGACGTTTGATCAAGATGACCTAGGTATTTACAAAAAAAATCTTCACATAATCTAGCTAATGGTATGAGTTTTACTCTCAAATAATTTCACATAAGCAAGTTGGACTCCCAAACATAATTTTCAAGCTTTTACACACTTTTTTACAAAACAGGTGTCCAAAACCCAATACATGTGTTAAAAGCCACCACCAACACCTAAACCACACTAAATAGATTTAGGATTACCTATGCAACGCACCACGACATTCATATATTAGTAAATCCACATTTTCAATCCTCAATATAAAAAACAATAAGGGAAGGTTCACATTACATATAATCAAAATATTCAATCATTTAAAACACCACAATTTTTTCCTTTACTTGCACTAGTATTTTAGCTTTATTAAAATTAAAAATAATTAAATTTACGTGCAATAACTTCAAGGTTCAAAATACAACAATCAAATCATGTAATCCCCTATAGTGCAAGTATATAATCAAATGCATCACTAGTTGGCAATAATTGTTATAATTACACATAAATCAAAACTTGCCACATCTTAATATTTTCAAAATTTAAATTGATGGATCATTCTTTTTTATTATATATTAATTATTAAATTTAATTTTATTTCATGTGAGACTTTTTATATCGAGTCAAGCCTACTCCCACGCTTTGACATCCGAACAATAAGTAATTTACCTTTTCATCAAATTGTTATTTAAATCACTGGATGTGTGTACAGGTAACACCTTACCTTTTTGTTCTATCCCGATTATTTTCAGTGCGACAAATGGACACCAAAATAATATGTGCTATGCAATTTCATGCGAGCAAATCAGCTTTTCATGTTAATTGCAAATAACGTTAAGTGTTAAATTTCCCCACGTATCCAACTAAAGGTGAACTATAAAATATAACTAGGCTCTAGCTACCACGAATTGACATTTAATATTTACTTTTGTAAACCATTTCATTGATCATCGAAAGAGAAATTTTTTCTGACAGGTAAAATTATTGAGCATGAATTATAATTCCATCATATTATGCATACATTAATATTATTAACATAATATATTATGTTTATTTATACCATAAATAATTAATACTTTATAAATTTTTGGTTAAATAAATAATTACTAAAATTATATGAAGATCACGTACGTAAGTTGATTTAAAAGAAGTCAACAACAATCCAGATCAAAAGCATTAGAAAAATGAGAAATTTGTAATATTAATTGATTGGAAGGCTCGTATTAATTGCTCCACCCAGAATTAAAAACTTCTACCTAATTCCAACGAGCATCTACCGGATGTACAGATGAGTCATAATCACAAGTCCAAAAGGAAAAATAACTTTTCATATCTACAGACTGGAAGGGAATAATGCTGCGGACAGTCACAAGATATTGGAATAAATTTTCTTTTTTATGTAAATTATATTAAATTTTTTTTATCTATATATAGTTCCCTTCTGTTTACCATTATTTTAAAGTTAAAATATATTTTTAATTCTTTAACCTTATATAATATTTTAATTTAGTCTTTTAATTTTGTAAAGTATGTTTTTAGTCTTTTAATCCTAACATCTTTAGTTTCAAATTAATGATTATTTTTTGTGCCAATCATTGTCATTTTGAAAAAATTAAACTTAATATGTCAATATTTAAAAATATTTTTTCACTATTTAAAAATTTAATGTAAAAATTTATTGGGATAAAACTAACATTGTTAAGATTAAAAGACTAAAAAAATAGTTTATAAAGTTAAAGGATTAAAATAAATATTGTATAGAATTAAAAGACTAAATGTAAACTTTAACTTTATTTTAAAATATTATCCAGTTATTATACCACTTGAGCCAGGTGAAAGGAAATAAATTCCTTTTAAACATGGTTCAAGCTATAGAATTACAGTTTTTTTTTATTTTTTTAACATATGGTATACATTATAAAAATACTCTCTCCAATCCCTCTTATAGAACGCTTTGTAGAAGGATTTATTAATCCTTAATATAAGACACTTGATAGGTAATTACTTTTTTCAACATAATGCCAAAAAATTTATCCTTAATATAAAATTATGATTATACATTTAATTTCATTGGAAAAAAGATTATATTTATATATTTAACATAATGCCAAAAAATTTAATTAAGCTGATGTTAACAATACATATGCTGATTGGCCAGCTAGTTTCACTACAAAGAATAAATTGTGCAAAGATTTTTAATACAGTACATAATACTCCCTCGATTTAATTAAGCTAATTTTAACAATGCATATGTTATTTTTTATTTTTTGAATTATATACCTACTTCATTTATTACTATTTTTGAAAAAATTCATACATTTAAATTTTAATCACTATTATTAAGGCTCTATATAGGGATGAATGAAAAAATATGAATATTTTTAAGAATTTAATGTTTCAATTAATATTGTTCGTAAATTATAAATTAATTAACTATGATTTATAAATTATAAATTAATTAACTATGACTTATATTGTGATCTGAAGAGAGTGCCAAATATTGTAAAACCTCAGCCAGCTGCTATGATGAACAAATAATATATATATATATATTTATATATATATATTATTTTTTGAAATATATATATTAATCAAATCTTAAGAAATTTATTATAGCTCACTGCTCATAACTACGTGCCGTTAGACTTGAATATTTTTGAAATGCCAAAAGACATATCCTAATTAACAAGCTGATCAATTATAGTGATGGGTTTGTCTGTGGGGTACATAGAAAAAATAAAATAAAAAATCAAAGAGCATGTTATGCAACTTGCTTGTACAACTTGCGCATTATTCTCCCTTAACTAGCTTCCTGTACAAATATAAATACATATTCATATAGCTGGTTTTCCCTCATAAATCAAAACACCATAACGCTTCTTCTTCTTCTTCCTCTTCCTCGTTCTCCTCTTCGGCTTCGGCTTTGTCTCTTCTTCTTCATAGCTAGCTATGGAGGTTTTAGTCTCATTGTGCCTAATACTTCCTTTGATATATTCTTTTTTCACCCTTTTCAAGATGATCCTTCAACGGAGAGGCCAGAATTGCTACATGCTGGCCTACGAGTGCTTTATGCCGCCGGCGGACACAAAGCTCGACACAGACTTGGCGGCGAGGATCGTGATGAGGAACAAGAACCTAGGGCTAGAGGAATACAGGTTTCTGCTCAAAACCATGGTGAGTTCAGGCATAGGAGAGAGCACTTACTGTCCTCGTAACGTCATCGAAGGACGAGCGGCGTGCCCGACGCTCAAAGATTCCTACGCCGAGATCGATGAGATCATGTTCGACACTCTCGACGGACTGTTCCGAAAAACTGGGTTTTCTCCCTCCGACATTGACATCCTTGTGGTCAATGTGTCTTTGTTCTCTCCTGCACCATCCCTCACAGCTCGTATTATAAACAGGTATAAACAATTTAAATTACGTTATTTATTTATATATGATGCATTCAAAAATAGAAAAAAGGAAAGAAAAAGATATTATTATCATAAACGTGAAGCAAATCTCATAGGTTCAAAATCTTTTGTATTTTTTTTTTCATTTTTTCACACTCATATACTCTGCAAGTTTTTTATGGCGTATTAATTTGTCAGGACGGGTGATAATGTGTTAACGTCAAAATTTAATTTCATTTCAGAATAATGCATATAGCTTTCTCTTATTGGTACAATAAGGCCAGGGTGTTCTGAAATTTTGTCTGTACGTATTTCACCATATTAATTCAATGCATTTATTGTTTAAATCTCACAAAAATATCAATCCAATTTCTAAAAAGGAAATGACTTTCTCATCTTGTCACGAGAGATAGAGATAATTAACTTCTTTAGTTATTATTTGAAGTTGTTGGTAAAAAAAGAAAAGGTATTCTTTGAAGTTTCATAATATAATACTACGAAATATTATATGAAATTATCTGATTTACTTATTCTATTTAACACACACGCACGCACAAGCACACATTAATTTAATGTTCGTTGTTAGATTAAATCATTTGAATTTAATATGAAGCAACAACGTTTACGTATATATAAAGCTAAGTGTTCCTTAAACGAAAGTCTGAACTAATATAGTAAACGTCATCAAGTTGGTTGTGGCTTGTGTTGGTCCCATCATGGAAACGTATTAATATGGTTCTCAAAACTCTTTATCATGGTATTTAAGACTCATCTGAATTCACACCCTAACAAAAATACATGTTTACAATTTACTTATACTCTTATTAAATATTTTATATAAGTGGCATAATAATGACGATTAAAATTTCAATACATTATTCTTTTTAAAAGGAGTAATAAATGAAATAAAGGTATAGTTAAAAAGATATACCTAATGCTTTATGTATTAGACCAAACATGGCTTCTAAACAAATGCTCTATACTGTGATTTGGAAAGAATATATACATACATACATACATATATATATATATATATAAATATGATAAATAGGTACAAAATGAGGGAGGACATAAAGGCGTTTAACTTGGCCGGAATGGGGTGTTCGGCGAGCGTGGTGGCCATGGATGTGGTGCAACGGTTGTTCAAGAGTCACCAGAACTCTGTCGCAGTCGTAGTGAGCACCGAAGATCTCGGTGCTCACTGGTATTGCGGCAAGAACAAGATGATGCTGCTCTCTAATTGCCTCTTTCGCTCCGGCGGATGCTCCATGCTTTTCACCAACAAGCCCTCCCTCAAGCACCTTGCCATCTTGAAGCTCAAGCACATGGAACGAACCCAGTTTGGTGCAAATGATGAAGCCTATGGATGCTGCATGCAGGTATATATGTCCTTTCATGTTCGGATGATTTTTATCTCTTAATTAAACTGAAGACTTTTTTATTTAAATATTATTAAATAAACAAAATATTGGTCTATGGTTATGTTTTTAGTTATGTTTGGTATATAATTAAGATTTTGATAGTAAATTCAAAGTTACGCTATAGTAGTATGTCTCTTTCAGCTGGAAATTTAAATGCGTGGACTAACTAAATTAATTGTGACCTTGACTTTATACATCCATGTCAAATAAGAATGGGACCATCAGTTTAGATCGCATAACAAGTTCGAAAAAGATCGAAAAGTTCAAAGACAATAATAGAGAATTAACCCACTTTTAATTTATTTTACTTCTTTCTTGAATTCGAAAGAACACTTTAAAGCTAAAAAGAAAAAACTACAAGATTCTTATGTCTCAACTCAATGAAGACTTTTCATTAATTAGCACCCATCGCATCCCTATTATTAATATAATAGGGATCTTTGATCTTTAATATAAGATTTTGATGAAGTATTGATTACATTTTTTTTAATATTACTCCTATTTAAATTTCTATTTAAATTCATTAAATATGAGTGATAATATAATAAAAATTTAAAAATTTTTATTTAAATATAAATAAAATTAAAAATTTATTATATTTGTAGATAAATTTACTGACTTAGCTAGAAGTGCTGAAATGGGAGATAATAAATTAAAATTGCTTAATTTGTAGACTGTTGGCCAGCTATAATTAAAAGATAAGACTGTTCAGTCAAAAGTCAAAAGTGAGTTCCCTTGGCCGCACCCTCTTCTTTTTACATGTAATATATTGGTCCCCACTCCCTCCAAACATTCAAAGTGTATGTAGAGGGAGAGAGTAAAATTGCAGAAAATAAATTACTTTCATGCTATTAGCGACCAGGGAAAATTGCCACAAAAATAAAATAAAATAAGGGGTCATTCAGTATATTTGGTGCTATATTACTTGACAGTTAAAAATCGTTAGTTAAAGTCCAAAAAAAACTGTCAAGTAAAGTTATTTTTGCGCTATCATACACGTTTCAAGCGTTATACAATAAGTTTTGAATTTCATTTCCTCGCAGGTTGAAGACGAAGAAGGGTACCGAGGATTCCAACTCACAAAGAATCTAGTTAAATCCGCAGCAAAAGCCCTAACACTGAACTTAGAATCCTTGGCTCCAAAGATTCTTCCTCTCTGGGAACTCATTCGCTTTCTATCAGTCGCTCTGCGTCACAGCAGGAAAACGAAGAAAGACATAATCCAAGCCGTAGCAGGAGGAGGTTTGAATTTCAAGTCAGGAATAGACCACTTCTGTGTCCACCCAGGAGGACGAGCCGTGATCGACGGCGTCGGTAAAGGTCTCGGGCTCACCGAGTACGACCTCGAGCCGGCGAGAATGGCGCTTCACCGGTGGGGTAACACATCTGCAGGTGGTCTCTGGTACGTTCTAGGGTACATGGAAGCCAAGAAGAGACTCAAGAAAGGTGACAAGATACTCATGATAAGCCTCGGTGCTGGATTTAAGTGTAATAACTGTGTTTGGGAAGTGATGAAGGATATGGAAGACCCTAATGTTTGGAAAGATTGCATCGATAACTATCCTCCAACGTCTGTGATGAATCCTTTCACGGCAAAGTACGATTGGCTCCATGACGAGTATCTTAACTTTGTGAGGTTCGATACCAGCAAAATATCAGTCGACTAATAATAGTAATAATGTCAATTAGGGTTGATGATGAAGAAGTATAGTTTATAAACTATGTTGATCATGATCAGCGTCAGAAAAGCAGGTGATGAGATATAGATTATAATTAATTAAATCTGGTTTTTAATGTGTGGGGGTTCAAAGGAGATTCCATACATGTTTTATCATATATTGGTGGTATTGATAGTGTCGGAATAATTTATCTTTGTGGATTACCATTTCTGAAATGTAATTTAAAGGAGACAGAGAGATATAGAGAGAGAGAGACAGATGAAGTCACACAGACTATACACATGTTGGTTTCAGGTCAATGCTTGAAAGTAGAGAACTTTATAGGAAAGTGTACTTCAGTTTCCTGATTATTGTTCTAAACTCTTTGTATTGTGTTATTGATCAAATAAAAAGTTATATCTTTATCAGTAAATTCAATTACATTTTGTTTCATTTTCATAGCATGAATATTTAATTAATTTGTATACAGAAAGTAAAAAGAAAAAAGAAACAAAAAAATTTAAATAAATTAATAAAGGAGAAAAGTTATTAATGCTACTTGACAGAAAAGCAACAAAAATAAATTACTTTGGTTGAAAGACATTCAAGGGGAGTAAATATTTTCTTGTTGTAAAGAAGAAAAGAACGAAGAAAATGGGTCAAAGTCTGTAAGAGTAGATATTGAATTAATTCTGCCACTTACACATGCATGTGTGTGTGTGCGCACAGACATTACCTCTTCAATAGGGAGCTGTCTACTCAACATCGTCCATTACTGTCATACCCACTAAGATGGTAAAAGCATCAATGCATGGATGTAACGTAATGTACCTTCGATAGAAAATTGTGCAGAGAAGAATGACAATTAAATCCTAAAAATTTGTTGAATAACAAATACTACTTCACAACAAAATTTTCAGATGAAGAATAAAAGGTGGCAAATTTACCTTTAAATTAGATCCAAGAGCTTTTGAAATTGAAACTTGTTTTTAATATAACATTTTTTTACTTTTTTTAATATGGTGCAATATTATCTCTACCATTAATAAATGTTAATTTTAACTGTTAATTGATAAAAAATTACAAAAAAAAATGACCTCAAAAACTATAAGTGTAATTTTTTGAATTCTTTTCTATAATTTTCTTTATTTTTTGTAACTTTTTATATCCTTTTCTATAAATTTTAGCCAATTACAATTAAAATTAATTTTTATTAATGATAAAGGTAATGTTACATTGTTTTCAAATATTAAAGAAAAATATTGTATCAAAAATAAGTTTAAAATTTTAGACACTCCTAAACTAATATAATTTAAAGGTGCAATTGTCATTTAAATATAATCCAAGAATAAATTATAAATATTAATTCAAATGATTGTGAATTTTTATTTATAAATGAGATTTCTATTTACCATTGTATGAATTTACATTTGTGAGTCATTTTTTTCAATAAATTTCGTTGGAATCAATTGTTATTAATTTAATTTTTCAAGATTGCACTGTCATTCTCCTTTTTGTCCAGTGAGAGTAGCTAGGCCCAATATGTCGAATAAAAAAAGGCAATTGGAGGGTCACCTTCTGGCACATTTATTGCTTTGTATCTCTCAATTGCCGGTTCATCAATTGTTCTGAAAACAGACTTAACCTAAACTCCTTATCTTGTTTCGTTTGAATGTGGCTAACAATTTTATAAGTTGCTGGGACAGGAACAGAAGAACAAGTATATGAACTGAGTTGGTTATGATTTATGAATCACGTGAGGACCTTAAGGCACATACAGCTTCCCAACCATTCATGGTTTGAAGGGGAGGCATATATAAAAGGGGAGGATTTTTTAAAAAAATTAATAATAAAATCTTTCAAAATTATATAAATGATAATCTAATATTTTAAAATATCATAATTTTAATGAAATCCTTAATAATTAACAAGTTTCAATAACAATTTTTACTTAAAGAATAATAACTTTTATTTTGTGAATCGTACTAGTTGAACAAGAAATCACAACTTATTAAATATAATTTCTATTATTGAATAACAAACTCTAATAATAACTTTTACTTAAAGAATAATATCTTTTATTCTATAAATCCCAAAAGTTAAAAAAAAGTTACAACTTATCAAACATAATTTCAATTATTGAAAAATTAGTTATCAAAATGACAAATTTCATTCACAACTTTTGTTAAAGAAATAATAACTTTTATTCAAAAAATTGAAAGAATTAAATAAGAAGTCATAACTTATCAACAAAGGTAAAATGGTCTTTTCAATTTAAAATTTATTGATACATAGGTCCATAGAAACTTTAGTGGAACTATATGATATCGCAAGACTAGATTGTCATTTATATAATTTGAAGGATTTTATTTTCATTTTTCCCTTTTTTTAACTAAACTAAGAGAAGATACACTATTACAAAAATTTGAATATTTGATACTAGAAAATTTGACAATTATCAATATAATCATGAAATAACTTGGAGCTACAAATCACTTATGAATCTAATGTATTTAATAGTTATTTCTATAGTAACATTACATGATACTAAAAAGGTCTAATAGATCCTCTGATCAGGGAGAGCTCATCGATATGGATGCAACTCTTGAAGAATGATATAGAATTTTTGTTAAAGGCTATTAGCTACATTAATAGGAAGAGTTTCATTTTTTTTTTTGAAATTGGCTTGGATCTTGTTCATGGTGAACAACAAATATTAGACGTGTCAGAGATACTGAGTCTCAATTAATAACAAAAGAGTCCTGAGCTCCCTTACCATAGTTCACTCGGATGTAAAAGATACACAAGGTTTTGGTAGAACAAGTGTTTGATTTTATTAAAATGCGAGAAGTTACAAGTCTAAATTGAAAGTAAAACTAACTGATAAAACTAAATGTTATAAGGTGTAAAAATGTGAGTCTTTGATTGAGTGTTGATTGTCTTCTTCTATGTTTTCATTTTCTATTTATAGTGTGAGAGTGGTGGTAGCCTCTCCCTAAAAACCTAGCACATTTTGCTGAGGAATCAAGGACCTCACGAAACTCATGGCACGATCTTTATTTCGTATTTTCCATTTTTGCTAATCAGCCTGTCTTATCGAGATACTTGGGCACGATGTCCGTGAATTCCAGAATTATTGGAGATCATGTCTTCTTGTGCCAACAGTCTAATGTTTGTAACTAGCAGGATTTTAGTATGTTTATTTTGTCGTGGCCTTTATTGAATTTCAGGGCCATCCTCTTTGTTCATATTGGGCCTGACTCTTCAATTACTCAGCCCAACTAGCCTTGTAATCTATCTGAGTGATGTTTCATATTTTAGCCCAAGCAATACCCCCCGCGTGCTATTGGCTGATGACATAAGCTGAATGGCACATTTGAAAAAACTAAAACGTCACTTTGTATTTGAGTGCCCTTTGTTAGTATAAACTCATTTCTTTTTCTAGTCACTTCTCTTGCCCTTTCTACCGTTTCTTGACATTCAAGATCCCTTGCTCCAATCTTCCCTTCACTCTCAAATGGCTTCCTCCACTTCTGCCACTGCCTCTACTACTGCTATGTCTTCCACATATATTGAAAGCTTTCTTGATTCTCTGGCAACTATCCAAAATCATGTTGCCTCACTCGGTGAATTTGTAATAGTACATACTTGATTATTAAAACCCTTATTTCCCCTAGATTAGGTCCTCATTTTGATATTTCTTTATTTTCATTATAGGAGAACTCTTCATTCCATGATTCCATCCCTTTCTAGTAAGCTTTTTACTTTTCCTATTTAGCCCTTATGTTCTATTGGGGGAAATATACTAACTATTCTTTATTTTTCTCCAGTACTTCTCCTCGGAGTTTTTAAATTTCCAATAAGAGCGACGTCAGGTACCTAACCATATGTCCCAATTTGTCTGAAGTGACTACCCCCACTCAACTAAATCCATGATCGCTAACCTTCATCCACGACTTGGACTTGGCCCAACTACCTCACCTTTCCCCAAGTCATCCTGCCAAAAACTTAGGAACTAGCCCCGGTCTCCTCGTGCTTGGGTCAATTGGGGAGGTGCTAAAGCAAATTTATGTGTCCCAATGGAATGACATGGGTCTCTATGACCTTATTTAGCTGTCTTTGGCTAATGCATACCGATCAACCTCTGATGGCCCTTTTAAGTTTTTGGGCCTCGAGCTGTAACACCTTCATTTTTAAGCTAAGTCCCATGTCTATTACTTTATGGCATGTCTTCATGTACTTGGGGTTGCCTATCACTAGAAAGGAAAACTTCTACATAATCCTCGAGAAGCATGACTCCTACATCACCCTCTCAACTGATTTGGAGAGTAAGATTAGGAGTAGGCCTCTTATACAAAGACCATGGAGCTACTCTCCAAGAAGTCAGTCGATGAGCTCATCACCCCTACGAAGCATCTTGTAATAACCTAGGAATTTTAAAAAAAATAAAATTTATGATATTGTGTTTTAAGCATATTTATATTAATTTTAAGATAAATTTAGCAAGAAGAAAAATTAGCTTAGTGGACACTATCCTGTCAATTATCATACAGGTCTCAAGTTCGAACAATCTTGGGGCAAGAGGAGAATTTTTCATTTTTATTTTTGTGTAAATAGTCCGATAAAATTACCATTAGGCCCTTCTCTATTAATATGATATTTTTCCTCTCTTCTCATATTTGTCAAAGAGTTACGTTGAAATAGAGAAGGAAAGATCTAGAACTCTCACCGTTTCCTCTGCCTCCTCCTTCTCTTCCTTCACCATTACTGGAGATCATTAGTGTGCGTGAGTAAAGATTTCAATCGCTGATGTATAAAACATAAGGCATAGATTTTTTTCCCCTCCCCTTTGCATTGGGTCACTATTGATTGCTGCCTGGGAGGGTTATTTTATCACACTCAGAATATTGCTGCTGCAATCGAAGAGTTGAACCTTGTTGCTACTATTGAAGGGCTTCCTTTTCATTTTTTCATCTGTTAATGGTATTGGAGTCATGCAGCAGATCTTCTTTTTCCTTTCCTCCTCTTAGCTCGTCTATATAGGACCTTTTCTCATCTTACTTCTCTGTTTAGTTTGTTAAGTTGAGTTCTTCCTCTCCCCTGTTCAGCATTCAAGAATCTCTTCTTCTCCTCTTTGTCTGTCCGCTACTATTCAGGCTAGCTAAGTTGAGGGAGTTTGGAAAAGGAGAAATTTGATTAAAAATGGGAGGAGAAATTTGAATTATGAAGATTTTAGATAAGTGAATAGCATCCCATTTAATTTATTTCTAGTTGTCTTTTACTAAAATATTTTACTCTTATGAATTATAATAGTTTTTTGAAAATTACATATTATTGATGAAGGATAATTAAATTTTGATATGTGCATTTATTCTTTTCAAGAAATATATTTTCAAAATTGATGAAAGCATTTTTGTTTATTAAAATCTAAAA